GGTGGTACAGCTTCAGTCACGAGAAACAAACGTCATACTCCACATGTCAAAAGTACTTATCGCGGAGGGACTAGTCTACAACTTACTGAGTGTTAGCCAGTTGATGGCGAAAGGAATACACTTGGAAGCCGACAGCACCACCCAGGAGTTCAAGTTGTACCACGGGAAGGGCGGTCCCTACATCGGAAAGGCGATGTTGAAAAACAATGTCTTCGTCCTCGACTTTGTTCCCGACCTGGGCACTGCCGACAGCGACGCTATCGTCAACTTCGCCGATTGGACGCATCCGCCGGATCTCGATCCCGACTTCAGCCCGGGAGGTTTCTGGTACTCACACACCATTCCTGAAGCAGAACGAACACGAGCATTAGCAACAATTCGACAATCGGCAGCAGCAGAGACAACATCGGCAGCAGCAGAGACAACATCGGCAGCAGCAGAGACAACATTGGCAGTAGCAGAGACAACATCGACAGCAGCAGAAACATCACCGGCAGCAGCAGGACCAACTACACCAGTCATCGTCGAAGAAGAAGCACCAACACTCGCACAGCAGCTGAACCCAACTCAACGAGAAGTCCACAGGAGCGCCAACCTTGTCGCCAGCTTCTACTCCAACTCCGACACTTATCGACGTTCATCCGGACATCGCGCCTCTGAAGAAACCTGGCACGCACGATTGGGACACCCAAGCAACACAGCATTAAATAACACGATAAGAGCAGGAGTTCTCGACAAAGATTCCCTACTACTACCCGACGGCAGAGAACTTCAAAGGGCACGAGGGACTTGCCTTACATGCCCTGAAGCTGACTTACCTCATCGACCGTTCGCTCCACATCACAACCCGAGCGCACCAGCGTACGCACCACTCGAAAAAGTATACAGCGACATCCTCTTCAATCGAGAGCCAGGACAAGTGACCTACAACTACACCATTACCTTCATCGACGCCGCCACCCGATATGTCTGGCACCTAAACCTACCAAGCCGCGACATGGCTCTCGCAGCTTTCGCCGCCTGGCTACCGGTAGCAGAGAGGGAATCGGGAGCAAAGCTGAAAAGCTTCCAGTCAGACGGAGGAGGAGAGTATACCTCTCAGCGCTTCAAGCAGTACCTGGCGGAAAGGGGAATCAAGCAACTCCTCTCCCTTCCCTATGCCCATCAGCAGCAAGGCGTTGCAGAACGAATGAACAGGACTCTCCAGAACAGCATGCGCAAACTGTTGCGTGGCATGCGGCTACCCAACCACCAGTGGCCTGCAGCAATGGACCACGCTGTCATGCTGCACAACTTGCTTTCATCGTCGTCACTCCCGAACAACGCGTCACCACATCTGCTGTGGACAGGGAAGCAGGGCAGCACAAAAATGTTACGAGTTTTCGGGTGCATGGTACAGTACCGACCCCCAGAAGCACGCGCGGGAAGATTTTCCAAACGGGCACAGTGGGGACTACACCTCGGCATCGAGAAAAATTACAACGCATGGAAAATCTTCGACGTCCACTCAAAGGAAACAGTGGCAGCACGTGATGTGATCTTCTACGAAAGACTCACCCTTCAGACGTACCTCGCCAACTTGCACGAGAATCAGGACCCCACAGGTGGCTTTCGTGGTGACCGAGCCTTCGCCTCAGCAGCGGACGAAGCAGACTGGGATGAACAGAACGTTGACAACGCATCGGAGGAAGCCGGACCTCTTCCGTTCTGCTCCGTCGACGTGCCCATGGACGAAGAAAATCCTCGCGAAAGTAACAACGCCGAAGCCTTTTATCACTTCGACGATACCGGTTACGTAACACCTGCAACAGTCAACACCAACGAAGCAGAAAGGATAGGGCCAAATTTCATACCCGATCCAGAAGCGGGAGACGAAGCAGCCTATCCCGAGGACACAACACTCCCCCGCTACTCACAGACCGGACTGAAATCCTCGGCCTCGTCACCGCCGTCCATGGCTCCCCTCTTCCTAAAGAGCATGCGACGGTTCAACAGGCTCTGGGGGGGGAACACAGAGAGAAATGGCGTGAAGCCATGGACAGAGAATTAAAAGCACTGGAGGAACGCAACACCTGGAAGGTCGTTCCCGCAAGCGTGGCAAGGAACAAGACCATTCTCACCAGGAAGTGGGTCTTCCGCATCAAAACGAAAGCAGATGGTACAATCGAGAAGTTCAAGGCACGATGGGTCGTGCGAGGATTCGACCAGGAGCAAGGGCGAGACTTCACCGAGACATTCGCCCTAGTTAGTCGACATACCTCACTCCGCATTCTTCTCGCCGTCGCCGCCATGAAGAAGAAAAAGCTGCGACAAATAGATGTCGCCAACACCTTCCTCTACGCACCTGTCGACGCCGACATTTTCGTTGAACTCCCTCACGGCACCCACGGGGAACCCAACCAGGTCTGCCAGCTACTAAAGTCCCTCTACGGAATCAAGCAGGCCCCACGGCTGTGGCAACAGCACCTGCACACCCGCCTCATCCGCATCGGATTCCGCCAACTGCCCCATGACCAGGGCATGTACCGACTCACTAAAGGCGTCGACTACATCCTACTCATCGTGTACGTCGACGATCTCCTCTACATCGGCTCCACCGACGACGTCACCAACTGGTTCGAAGGGGAGCTGCACAAAGATCTCACGCTCACCGTTTCCTCTACCGTCACGCAGTACCTCGGGCTCAACATCCGCGAAGAAGAAAACGCAATCTATCTAAGCGCCGAGAAATACGCCGACACGATCGCCAAGCGCTTCTCGCTCACCCCTACCTCTATCGCCACGCCATACCGCTACATGGCAGGAAACGACCAAGGAAACTCCACTCTACTAAAAACCGCCGGAATACGCGACTACCAGCGAAAACTGGGCTGTCTACTCTTCGCAGCCGTCACCTGTCGCCCAGACCTGTCCTATTCCGCTAGCCAGCTCGCTACTTATCTCAAGAAGCCTGAAGTAGATCACCTGGCAGAGCTCGATCGCGCACTGCGCTACCTCGTGAGCACGCCGACGATCGGCCTGACTTACTACAAGAACGAAGCTGCGTCAACGAAGCTAATCGGCTATGTCGATGCCGACCATGCCGGCGATCCAGATAACAGGCGCTCTCGCACCGGCTACGTCTATCGTCTCGAGCCTATCGGACCTATCTCCTGGCAGTCGAGTAAGGAGGAACTAATCGCTCTCTCCTCAGCTGAAGCATAATATATCGCCCTCTGCTCAGCCACCAAGGAAGGACTCTACCTTCGCGAACTGCTGGAAGAAGCAAAGCTAGCTGAGTTACCCAGCTTCACCCTGCACTGCGACAACCAATCTGCAATTCGCATCGCCAACAAAAACGGATTCGCGAACAGAACGAAGCATATCGCTCTGCGATACTTCTTCGTGAAAGACGAGATCGAGAAAGGAAGACTCGAGTTATCCTACTGTCCCACGTCCGAGATGGCAGCCGACTATTGGACCAAGAAGCTCGGAAAACAGAAGTTCGAATACTGCATGCTGCTGACTGGACAAAGCCACGTCACCATCAGCGACACTCCAGAAGCGAAGGGGACTGTTGGGAACAATAAGTCTTAAAGCGCCTCTGTCGTGTCGAAACTCAGGACGCGAAGCAGTCAGAATCGAAGCATCGCGAGTCAACCCTCGGAGGTTGGGAGTAACCGCCAGGAGGTTACACGAAGGTCAAAGGTCAGCGACCTTTGACTTGACCAATACAGCGCGACAGCAAGGACAAACAACTGACTCGACATTGAGCAGTTGCCCGAGTCGCACTGTATCGAACCGCAACAGTAAATGTAGTTATAATGTCTCTTCATATTCTCTGTACTCATCTATTTATATTCTTGTATCTCTTTGCTTTAATTAACTTACTTTGCCCTCACATACCAGCGCAAGGTGGTTCAAGATCTCTTACTCAAACGCTTCTGCTATTACAATCCTACTTAGCCTTTAACTCTACAAAGATCCTATGGCTTCTCAGCCCAACACCCGGAACATCAAACGGTTGAAAGTGTAGAGTTTGGCTGGGAACCACCAGTTTCCAACACTATCCTGCTGCATCAACAAACAGGGACATTACATCAACAGAACGCAACCTTCGCGCACATAGCATTCGAACGCCATCAGCACGGAGATCGCGATCACCTACGCCGACCCTCTCGGCACTTCATCAAGGCCATCAACCGCAACTACACTCGCCAAGTCTTCAACGCCCCAATTGTACATGTCTCAGAAGACCCAATTGTAATGAAGCCCGTTGCCTTTGCAAGAACAGAAAGCAAGCTTTCTCAATATGAAAATTTTCGAAAGTGTGTAACACTTTCTAAAAATGCGTATTGTGAAAGTGCAGCTGCCTGTTACAAAGCAAAGCAACAGCGAATTACAACTCGCCGAGTACATGAGGGTTGGAGGCCATTTGGCCTCCACCCGAATGGCCTCCACCCACGACTTCATTTCGGAACTTTGCAGTTCCACCCCCCACCCACCCACCCTAGTTGTAGATTTGTATGATCCATAATTGGACGAGAATGTTGTACGGTATTACTGCGATTGTAATGAAGCCCGTTGCCTTTGCAAGAACAGGAAGCAAGCTTTCTCAATCCGAGAGAATATCAACGGGAATTGGAAATGACATTCTGAAGAGTCTGGGAAATCAACCGCTATACTCAGTATTTGGAGCCAGGGGTTTTGGTCCATAATATTTTGTAGTTATGCAGTTTTGCAAGTTCAGCCTCATTTGTTAGATTATTGATTCAGCTAATAGAATGTAGTGGCGCTGTGTGACCTCCGCCCTCATCAAGCACTTCTCTTTGGTATTTCTGCACAGAATGGATAATGTAATTAGGGCAAACAAAGCAACATGCCAACCCACAACCTATTTACTGTACAATCATATCCTTTGTTAAGCTCCCTGAACATATCAATCTTCCGGCGGTATTTCTTAGCGATCAACATGCCACATGTATCTCCGCGCTTTACACTATATAAGCGGTTGGTTGAACATGTATTGCCAGAAAACGGTCGGCTGTCAACACTAGCCACACAAATCTGTGAGTCAGCCATTAGTGGGAACAGGATGGAAGGGGAAGAAAAAGACTTGCATATGATAACCTTTACACACAGACAGACACAGACAGACATACACAGACACAAGACACAGACACAGACACAGACACAGACAGACACAGACAGACATACACAGACACAAGACACAGACACTGACACAGACACACAGTCAAAGAGACAGAGACAGGGACAGGGACAGAGACAGAGCCAGAGGTAGACACAGACAGAGACAGAGACAGAGACAGAGACAGAGACATAGACATAGACAGAGACAGACAGAGACAGAGACACCAGACATAACACCAGACACGGACACGACACCAATACGGACACACTCCATTGCACAAACTCTCGCACACTCTCTTGCACACTCTATCTCTCGCGCATTCTCTCTCACTTGCGCCCACACTTCCACCACACCACAATGTAGGACAGTTTACATGCATGTGAGGCCATGCATGTGGAGTCATGCATGTGGAACCACGCATGTGAGAGGTGTTATGTGCATATGCATAGAACACTGTATTCACCATACTCACAGTATTGTTCAGCAGGGAGCTGTACGGCAGCAGGGTAGCGCAAGGAAACCCAGGATTCATCTGGAACAAGGAGACTTCTTAGTCAACCCCGAGTTCATCTGGAACAAGGTGACTCCCCGAGTTCATCTGGAACAAGGTGACTTTTGAGTCAACCCGGGATTCGTCTGGAACAAGGTGACTTTTAAGTCAACCTGGAATTCATCTGGAAGAAGGTGGCTTTTGAGTCAACCCGGAATTCATCTGGAAGAAGCATGTGGGAGAGGCAGTGGCAAACGCTCAATCCCCTCCCCTTACCTTCACCCATCCCCCATCCCCTTCCCTTCTCCCTCCCTTACCCATCCCCCACTCCCCTGCAAACCCCACACACAGACGCCCAACTCACCCGACTCATCATGTTGCCCTGCAGGGGGCTGTGCGGCAGCAGCGCATTCCCCAACCTTCTCACCCCCCATCGCCACACACAGGCCTTCCAACTCACCTTGCTCATCATATGAATCCCCCCAGCCATACTCATACCCCACCCACCAGCCCAGCTCACCTTGCTCATCATATTGCCCCGCATTGGGCTGTACGGCAGCAGTGCATCACATGATAGCCCGGGATTCATCTGGAAGAAGCGCGTGGGGGAGTCAATGGCAAACGCCTGCCACAGCTGCTGGCAGCTCTGCGGGCCCTGCAGCACTGTCACGGGCACACCTAGGCTCGTGTAGTTGGCAAGAGGCGGAGGAGGGGGTGGTTGAGGGCTCGGTGAGGGTGTGGGCGCGGTTTGTGTCACGGCTGGGGTGATTTGGGCTTGCAGTTTGCATGATATGCGGGTCTTTCCCTCCTCAAGCCACGTCTGGTTGAAGTCAACACAGAGGAGCTGGGGAGGAGGGATGGAGGGGAACAGGGGAGAGGAGGGAGAGAGGGGAGAAGGGGGAGAGGAATGTGTGAACAAACCCCCAATATTGTGGAGATCAAGTTTGGAGACTAAATTGCGTCATGTGATGTGACGTGACGTGAAGTGATGTGACGTGACATGACGTGACGTGACGTGACGTGATGTGACGTGATGTGACGTGATGTGACGTGATGTGACGTGACGTGACGTGACGCGATGTGATGTGATGAGATGTGTGATATGATATATTATGATCTGATCTGATGAGATATGATGAGATCTGATGTGATATGATGTGATGTGATGTGACGTGACGTGACGTGACGTGACGTGGCGTGACGTGACGTGACTTGAACTGACGTGATGTGATGTGATGTGATGTGATGTGATGTGTGATATAATATATTATGATCTGATATGATGAGATCTGATGTAAGATGTGATGTGATGTGATGTGATGTGATGTGATGTGATGTGATGTGATGTGATGTGATGTGATGTGATGTGGTGTGATGTGATGTGATGTGATGTGATGTGATGTGATGTGATGTGTGATATAATATATTATGATCTGATATGATGAGATATGATGTAAGATGTGATGTGATGTGATGTGATGTGATGTGGTGTGGTGTGGTGTGGTGTGGTGTGGTGTGGTGTGGTGTGGTGTGGTGTGATGTGATGTGATGTGATGTGACGTGATGTGGTGTAATGTGGTGTGGTGTGATATTCTGATAATCTGTCATTGCAACAGCTTCAGTTACCAACATGCAGTGCGCACCTGCATTTCCGTGCACCCACCTACACTCACCTCCACCCACCTACACCCCCCTCAACCCACCTACACTCACCAACACCCACCTACACCCCTCAAAAAACCACTGACACGTATCTGCAACCACAAACACTCACGTGCACTCGCCTAAACTCACTTGCACCCACCCGCACCTGCTGCACCCACCATCACCCACCTGCACACACCTGCACCCACCATCACCCACCTGCACCCACCTGCACCCACCATCACCCACCTGCACCCACTATCACCCACTCGCACCCACCTGGCCGGGCCTGGGCCCATCGGAGCAGGTGAGGGCGGGGTTGAGCGGCTGTATCTGCGTGGAGAAGAGGGCGTTGAGTGAGTCACACGTGTCACCCTGCCGGCACATGAGGAAAGGGGGAGACAAAGAGAATGGGGGGTTAAAAAACCGCGAGAGGAGAGTGGGGAAGAGTGTTGAGTGAGTCACACGAGAAACCCGCCAGCACACATGTCAGGTACGGGAGGAAGTGGAAGCAGGAACGTGGTTATTTGGAGAATTAAGTTGAGCGGCTGTATCTGCCTGGAGAAGAGGGTGTTGAGTGAGTCACACGAGTCACATGTGTCACCCTGCCAGCACACGAGTCACATGTGTCACCCTGCCGGCACACATGTCAGGTATGGGAGGAAGTGGAAGCAGGAACGTGGTTATACGGAGAATCAAGTTGAGCGGCTGTATGGGAGTGGAGAAGAGGGCGTTGAGTGAGTCGCACATGTCACCCTGCTGGCAGACAGGGACCAGGGATGGGGATGGGCAGATGGATGGGAATGGGCAGATGGATGGGGATGGGCAGATGGATGGGAATGGGCAGATGGATGGGGATGGGCAGATGGATGGGGATGGGCAGATGGATGGGGATGGGCAGATGGATGGGGATGGGCAGATGGAGGGAGTGGGGAGATGGAGGGGGTAGGAAATGCAAACACAGGCGGCGATTCAGAGTGAGCAGTGAGGAGGGTGGTGAGTATTTGAGTTTAAGCTCAACGGCACTTACATAAACGCACTGGAAATTACGTCAACACAATGGCGCTTACATAATTAGCAGTGTACATGGAAGTGCATTGGGAAAAAGCCCGGCTAGTGACGTTGACCAGAGTGTCTACAGGGATGGGCACTCGGCACTGGAACCCCTGCAGTCAGCACAAGGAGAGAGGGAGGATTGGATGGGTTGGAACAAGGAGTCAGAGAAAGAGGACTGGATGGGTTGGAATGGAACGTGGGTAGTTGACAAAAAAGAAAGACTATAAAGGCAAGATGGGAAGGGGTTGTGGGTTTGAAAGCCCTGCAGTTAGAACACGGAGAGATTGGGACGAGGCAGGCAGGGTGGGTGGTGGGAAGAATGAGGGGAAAGTGAGGGACTCTGGAGGGGATTGAGGAGCAGTGAGGGGCAAGTGACTAGAAAGCATACAGGTGACTAGACAGGGTCCAGTGTAAAAGGCTATGCGGTGGGATGTGACACGAAATAAAACGTGGGTGCTTCCCAACCACTGCCTGGCCTATATTGGAATCACTTTTGAGTCTTCTCAAAAGTGAAGTGAAGTGATGTGATGTGATGTGATGTGATTTAAAATATGCTGCCCAAACACAGCCTAAGCCTCCCTTCGGTTTAACACCTCCCTGACCAAAGCCTTTCATACCTTGTTTTGGCTGAAGAAGTCCGCTTGGGTGAGCCCGTAGGTGTTGAGGATGAGAGCGCATGCGACCTTTTATAGTGCCTCATAAGCCAACCTGATAACCTTTGTAAAATCCGTCAAGAGGCTGACCTTGTTCTGGCTGAAGAAGTCCGCCTGGGTAAGCCCATAGGTGTTGAGGATGAGAGCGCATGTGAGGCCGAAGGGTGACAGGAAGGTGGGCATTCGAGTCGCAGCCAATCGCACTGAATGCATGGGATAGGATGAATGTGGTAAGGATGCATGGGGTAGGATGCATGGGGTAGGATGCATGGGGTGAGCATACATGTCGAGTTGATTTCTCGGATCACGATTTCGGCGCGGAATCGCGACCCGCGTTTTACTGTAAGTTTTTATTCCGGGCTGCCCGAAATATTTTCGAGGCAGCGTGAACTGTTTCGACGCTGCGTCAATCGACAAGCGCAAAAACGAAGGTTCTAACGCTTGCCGGTTTCAGCGCCAAAGCCAGCACAGTTCCCTTGACACCAAATTGTGTTCAACTAGGGCTTTTGACAGACCCTAGTTTACCACCTAGCATTTTCCCTTCAGGAGCAGAGCCGACTTTTGAGTTGACTCAAGACTCATCTAGGGCTTTTGGCAGAACCTAGTTTACCACCTAGCATTTTCCCTTCAGGAGCAGAGCCGACTTTTGAGTCGACTCAAGACTCAACTAGGGCTTTTGGCAGAACCTAGTTTACCACCTAGCATTTTCCCTTCAGGAGCAGAGCCGACTTTTGAGTCGACTCAAGGCTCATCTACGGCTTTTGGCAGACCCTAGTTTACCACCTAGCATTTTCCCTTTAAGAGCAGAGCAAGGTGGTAAGCAAGCAGGCAAGAGCAAGCGTTACTGTGTTACGCAGAGGTAACAGCGGGCAGCTCCTTTGGGGATGAATTAAAAAGGGGAGAAGGGTGAGGGGCAGAGGCATGGGGTAAACAAACCCACCCACTTCCCTTTTGGGGACAGAGGGAGGTGGTAAGAGTTACACACACTGGTGGCAGCGGGCAGTGGCTTTCGGGAAGAAGCAGATGGGGAAGCAGCACGAGGGGCAGAGGATGGTAACAAGCTAGCAAGCGAGCGAGCGAGCGAGCAAGTAAGACCATGTGGTACGCACAATGGTAACAGCGGGCAGTGCCTTTGGGATAGAAGTAGAAGGGGAAGTAGGGCGAGGGGCAGAGGCAGGAGTAGGTGCCGTCTATGTCATCAATGCACACCCCCGGGGCACATGGGTTGGTGGAGAGCTGGCGACACGTGAAGGAATCTGGTGAAGGCAGGGGGGCGAGGAAGGGGACAGAGAATCGGGGGAGCAGAGCGGGAAGAGAGCAGGAGTGAGGGATTAGCACACCAGCACAGCAGAGTGGGAAGAGAGCAGGAATGAGGGAGCAGCACAGCAGTACAGTACAGCATCAATGCAGAACCCAGGGACACGTGAAGAAACATGGCGAGGGGTTGGGGGGAAAAGGGGACGGTGGGGAAATGGGACAGGGGGACGGGGGATGGGGGACACGGGAGCAATGAGAAAGGAGGATGGAGAACAAGAAAGGAGGATGGAGAACAAGAAAGGAGGATGGAGAACAAGAAAGGAGGATGGAGAACAAGAAAGGAGGATGGAGAACAAGAAAGGAGGATGGAGAACAAGAAAGGAGGATGGAGAACAAGAAAGGAGGATGGAGAACAAGAAAGGAGGATGGAGAACAAGAAAGGAGGATGGAGAACAAGAAAGGAGGATGGAGAACAAGAAAGGAGGATGGAGAACAAGAAAGGAGGATGGAGAACAAGAAAGGAGGATGGAGAACAAGAAAGGAGGAGAAAGGAGACATGAGAAGGAGAAAGGAGACATGAGAAGGAGAAAGGAGACATGAGAAGGAGAAAGGAGACATGAGAAGGAGAAAGGAGACATGAGAAGGAGAAAGGAGACATGAGAAGGAGAAAGGAGACATGAGAAGGAGAAAGGAGACATGAGAAGGAGAAAGGAGACATGAGAAGGAGAAAGGAGACATGAGAAGGAGAAAGGAGACATGAGAAGGAGAAAGGAGACATGAGAAGGAAGGCAAAGAAGGGGGAAGGGGAAAGGTGGTGGGTTGGAAAGGAGGGGAAACGAGAAAGAAGGGTGTCGCAGGAGTAATCATAGTGCATAGAGTGCAAACCCTTCGCATCTTCTCAAGAGTGTCATGAATTGAGAACGAGTGCATGCGTACAAACCTATGCCATAGAGGTGACTTTAGAGTCGACTCAAAAGTCACCTCACTTTCTCAAGAGTGCTGTGAATCGAGGAGGAGTGCATGCGTACAGAACTATGCCATCCACAAACAAACCAAAAGGGAGCCTAACGCACTCCACCTCTCACCTACCGCACTCCGCCTCTCACCTACCGCACTCCTATGTTGGAAAAGTCGCCAGAAACCATAAGCGCACACCGTATAGGCGTTAACGAATATACGGTGTACGCAATTCGTACGTATATTCGTAGGGTAAAATTCGGGCTGACCGGAAAAAAACCCAGATTTGTGTAGTCGCGAACGAATTGCGAATGTGCGACGCGACTCAAAATGTACGCACGTCCCAACCCAATTTGTACGCACCTCCCAAACACATTGTCACCCACACCTGTCAAAAGTTGGGGACGTGGGAAAGTCAGAACCGCATTGCACCCTATGTTATCGCGCGACTCCAACACACAAACACGAATGTCGTCAACCAGCGGAGGTGGTTCAACCACAGCGTGGACTATAAGGTAAGCTGTTTCCCGTCATGTGTAGCATCTCTCTTTCATTCTCTCTCAACGCACCCGCCCAGCTCCACTTGATGTCGACTCCTACTGGCACTCCCGCGAGTGCCACTAGTGAGGCTCCTAGTGTTTCGAATGACGCGACCATGGCGGACGGCGGGGATGTTCCTGAGAACACCCATGTTATTTTTAAGCATTTCATTACCTCTACCGAAGGTTCCTCAACTGGTCCTGAGCGAACTCTCCGCACATGCCGGTATTGCAAGCTTAAGTTCGTAGGCGGCGCCTTCCGTTGTGCGCAACACATCACGCGCTGGAAAGGGCTGAAACGGAAGGACGTCCGTCTTTGCAAGGCGCCGATCCCTCCTGCTGACCGCAACGCCGTCCGCGAATTGTACGAAGGTAAAAATGCCCGCAGGGAAGGGAGGAAGAGGGCGGAAGAGATGGCGATCGAGGCGTGTGCGGGTGGATCGAAGAAGCAGTGCATCGAAGACTTTTACGGGGAGGGGGCGTCGTGTGCGAAAGACTCGGCAGACGACGCCATCTGCCTCATGTGGGCGGCACTTCACCTCCCGGAGCATCTCGCCGATCACCCTCTCTGGCGCAACGCTGTGCGCAGCATCGCGGACGCGGGCCATGGCTACGTTCCGCCGAAGCGGCGGTATGTTGGTGGCGCCGGCCTGCAGCGCTGCCGCGGAAAGATCGAGCGGGGCCTCGCTCCCATCGCTGCGAGCTGGAAGCGGGATGGAGTGACGATCGGTTCGGACATGATGACGGACAAAAGTGGCCGTCCCCAAGCCAACATCCTGCTCATCAACGACTCCGGTGCTGTGTTCGCCGAGAGCATAGACTGTAAGATGGAGACGAAGACGGGAGGTTACATTGCATCCGTTTTGCGCCCCATCATTGAGAAGGTGGGGCCCGCCAACATCGTTGCCTTCTGCATGGATGGGGGCAGCAATTACGCGGCTGCATGTCGGGAGCTCATGCAAGAATTTCCTCACATTGAGCATGTACCGTGCGCGACTCACGTCATGGATCTGCTCATGGAAGATATTGGGAAAATGGATTGGGCAAAAGACATTGTGGCAAAGGCGGGGTTGATTATTACCTTTGTGCGTGCCCACCATTTCACCAAAGGTTACATGAGAAGCCCGCAGGTGAAGGGAGGGAGGGGGAAGCAGGTGCTGAAGCCGGCGGGCACCAGATTTGGCACGCAATTCATCGCGGTGCAGCGGCTTTGCGAGGTGCGGAGTGCATTGACGGACATGGTGCTGAGCCCGGAGTGGCAGGATTGGGCGAAGGGGAGGAAGCCGCCAGTCGAGCCCTTCGCAGCCATGATCATGGATGCCGTGTGGTGGAAAGGGGCAGAATTCTTCGTCGCCCTCCTGAAGATCCCCTTTCTCGTCATGCGCAAGACCGACTCGACGGCCAAGGCCATGATGGGCAAGATCTACGATCTCATGCTGCAGCTCACGGAAGACATCAATGCGAAGCTGGAGGAGGAGGAGACGGGATTGGTGCTGTCCAGCACTGAACGCACGGAGGTGACCAACATCGTCCAGAAGCGCTGGGACAACAGCATGGCGTGTGCCATGCACGTGGTTGGCCCGATCCTCAATCCGGTCAACCAAGAGGAAGGCATCTTCCGGACCGACCTGGAGTGCACGCGCGTCTTCAAGGCGTTTGTCTCTCGTCACTTCGGGGGGCAGACGGTGACGCGCAAGGAGGGCGAAGAGCTGCGTGCTTCCCACGTCATCCAGGACGGGCTGACGGCATTCAACACCCTCCAGGGGAGCTTCGGCCTACCTGACGCCATCACTGACCGTGAGCTCGTGAAGGCCGGTAAGAAGACGGCCGTGGATTGGTGGACGTGGCACGGGACGGACCACCCCGAGCTGACAACGCTCGCCTGCCGCGTTCTCTCTCAGCCCGTGTCCGCATCGGCGTGTGAGAGGAACTGGGCAGTGTGGGAGTCGATCCACACTGCCAAGCGCAACAGGTTGGGGTCCGAGAAGTGTCGGGACCTCGTGTATGTTGCGCACAATTGGAACATTGTGCGCAACTGGCACAAGGGCCCTGAGGGGGTGACGGTTCGCTCGGGGAACATCCCTGAGGCCCCCCTGCCGGAAGGGTACAAGGAGGTTCTGGAGGAGGATGAGGAGGAGGGGGAGGAGGAAGAGCTGGAGGATGAGTACAAGTAGAGGAGGAAGGAAGGGACGGGGGGAGTAGAGGGAGGAAGTAGGGGGTGGGGTAGACAGTATGCATGGGCGGATGGTGGCTGGGGGGATGCATGTGTAGGTTAGTGTAGGAGATGCATGTTGTTAGATTAGAGTAGGTGAAATTTGAAGTTTTTATTCTGTAACAAAAATGTATGGTACAACCTCCCCTCTCCCCCCTCTCCCCCCCCCCCTCCTGGAGGGGATTTTTCCCCTCTGCCCGGGAAAAGTTTTATCCTGCCCGGGCAGCGTACTTTTCGCGACTTTCAAGGTCAGGCATTCAGCGTATAGCGCATTATACGCAAGCGTATATACGCTTGCGTACAATGCGCTGGGCGCGACTTTTCCAGCATAGCCGCACTCCGCCTCTCACCTACCGCACTCCGCCTCTCACCCACCGCACTCTGCCTCTCACCTACCACACTCCACGTCTCACCTACCACACTCCACCTCTCACCCACCGCACTCCACCTCGAGCCTACCGCACTCCAACTCTTGCCTACCACACTCCACCACTCCACGCCTCACCAGGGAAGCAGGAGGGCAGGCCGGCAAGGTGTGAAGGTTGAAAGGAGGGGAGATTGAAGGGGCACTTGCAGGAGGGCACGAGGATAGACGGGTCCCACGGGGCACGTGCCTTGGTGCATGCACCCGTGCCACAGGGCAGCACTGGAGAACCCTTGCAGGGGTCGGTGTCTGTTGGGGCGGAGGGAGGATGGGAACGGGGAGTATGCAAAGGTATGACTTAGGAGGAGAGAGAAGAGCAGGTATGCAAAGGGGGTGCAAGGAGATACAAGGGGTTGCAAGGGGATACAAGGGGTTGCAAGGGGATACGCAGGGGTTCACGGAGTTGCAGGAACGAAAATCCTCCCTCCCCTCTCCCTCCCCTGTGAATCAGAAGGTCCAGAAGGAGAAGGCAACAAGGGCAGGGCGCGTGGCTTGCTACCCATTCTCTTTTTCCCTCCCCCCCATCTCGCCCTCTCTCCCTCTCCCCCGTCTCGCCCTCTCTCCCTCCCCCCAATCTCGCCCTCTTTTCCCCCCCCATCTCGCCCCCTTCCCCTCCACCCTACCTGTGAACCGGAAGGTCCAGGAGGAGAGGGCGACGGGGGAAGGCAGGTGGCCGGAAGGGGGGGGGGGAAGGGAGAGCAGCGCTGGTGAACCCAACGAACAGCTGCCCAAAGGATGGCGACCATAGGTCCTCTGCACTGCTGCTAGTACCCACCATTCTCACCCCCCTCTCCCCCCCCCCTTTTCCTTCTCCTTCCTACCTGTGAATCTGAAGGTCCAAGAGTATATGGTGACAGGAGAGGGAAGGCGGCCAGGGGGGGGAGGGAGAGCAGCGCTGGTGAGCCCAACAAACAGATGCCCAAACGATGGCGACGCCAGGTCTGTCACACTGCTGTCACTGCTGCTGCTGCTGCTGCCACTTGTGGCGGTGGTGGTGGTGGTGGTGCTGCTCCTGCTCCTGCTGCTGCTACCACTGCCACCACCACTGCTGCTTCCGCTGGTGGCAGAGGGCCCAGTGAGAGCAGCACAGAGGTCAAGAGAGACATTCATGCTGTCCACTAGAAGAGGGGGTTGGTACCATCTGATCAGCATCTCCTTGCTTCTCCCGTTATAGTCAACCCTCATTTGTAGCACGTCCTCTGGCTCCACACCAGTTAACAACTTCTCCGAGAAAATCGAAGTCATGTTGAAGTCAGTGTTAACGTTTAAGTGTATAACATTTACATTGTCAGTTTCCGGGTGCCATTCCACAGCTACACTCCGCGCGCCGTCTGGCCAGCTGCCATTAGCGAGTCGCGAGGATGGGTCCCGGCCGTACCCCATATAAGCCCCGCCTAGGCCCACGCTCGCATGTGTGCTTATAACGAATGCGAGCCCTTGAGACGCGGATACGTTTATGGAAAATCCGTATGTGAAGGTGAACGAGCGAGCCATGCAGATTGGGGGTTCGGTTGCTGTGGGTTGCGGAGGGGAGGAGGAAGGAGAGGAATGGGGGGAGCTGCGAGGACGACGAGGAGGAGGAGGGAAAGGAGGGGAGGAGGAGGAGGAGTAGAGGAGCGGGAGACGGCGAGGGAAGAAGAGGGCTCCGGGGGCGGGATCATCTGATTGGCCGGTAAATGTCACGTCAGCAGCAGCGACGGAGAGATCAGCGGCGAAGAAACGCTTCCTTGTGCTGCCACGTGTCTGCAGGGGAGTGGCTGGTGTGATGTAGGGGAAGGAGAACGAGTCTGCCGCCCAAAACGGAAGCGAATCCTCGGCTGCTGGGGTTGGCATAAGATTTTATGTAGGGGCGGTGCCAAGAGGGGGGGAGGGTTAGAGAGGCTTACACTAGGCAATGGGGAGACACTTGAACTCAACTCATCCTCCCATACTTCAAACTTCAACCCCAGCACAGCACCTCATGTGGGCATGAAACACTGCAGATGCTGATAAGATAAGCAGATAATCATACCTCTGGGTCATTTCCCCCAAGCTCCTCACATGGGTCGAGCTACTCACAGGTGATATAGTAAAGCAAGGGTGATTCACCCCTAAAATACGCTCAAAACAGGGTCAGGGAGGAGGGCACTCAGACTCACCCTCCCCGACTTGGACATCCACCCCAGCACCTCCTAAGGTCCCTCCCAACAACTCACCCTCCGCCACTTGTAACGTCCACCCCAGCACCTCCTAAGGTCACTCCCAATAACTCACCCTCCCCGACCTCAAAATTCCACCCCAACACCTCGTGCAACTCTTAAGGTCACTTCACTCCCAACAACTCACCCTCTCCGACTTCAAAGCTCCACCCCAGCACCTCGTGTGCCTGAGCCTGCTCCGCCCCCTACCCCATCCCTCCCCACAGCTGTACTATTATCATGAGAATTCCAACAACTCACCCTCTCCAACTTCAAAGCTCCACCCCAGCACCTCGTGCGCCTGGGCCTGCTCCGCCCCCTTGCCCGTGGCCGCTGTGAATCCCACAAACAGCGGCGGGGGGGGCGCTGCTGCCTGTGGGTCGTTCCCCCCCAGCCACTCACAGGTGTCCAGGAATGTGGTGAGCACGGCCGAGCGCGGGAGAGGGGGAGCGAAGAAGGAAGAAGCAGAGCGAGAGGAGGAGCGGGGGACGGGGGAGAGCCAGACGGTGAGCTGAGAGGAGGAGGCGTTGTATCGGATCGTGGCAAGGAGGGGTTGACCGGCGTTGAGGGCGGGAATGCCAAGGGGGTGCACGGGGGCAGAGGCGAGAGAGAGCATGCTGCCGTGCAGGTTCACCCCCACGTGGTGGTCGGGGCGGTCGAAGAATTCAGGAGAAGAGGATGTGTCAAACTCCACTGCCAGGCTCCGCTGCTGCTGCATGGATGGGGGGGGGAAGGATAGGGGAGGCAGCAGCAGCAGCAGCAGCAACAGCAGCACAGCAGAACGGCAGAGCAGCAGCAGAAGTGAGCAGAAGAGGAAGAGCAAAAGAGTGAGGGAGTGCACGGGAGCAGAGGTGAGAGAGAGCATGCTGCCGTGCAGGTTCACTCCCACGTGGTGGTCGGGGTGGTCGAAGAATTCAGGAGAAGAGGATGTGTCATATTCCACTGCCATGCTCCACTGCTGCACGGATTGGGGGGAGGAGAGTGGATGAGGGGGGTGTGGGCGTGGACTTGTGAGACAGATGTGTCAAGCTCCACTGCCAGGCTCTGCTGCTGCACGGTTGGTGGGTGGTGGAGGGTGGTGGAGGGTGGGGGAGGGTGGGGGTTGGGAACGGGACATTCTGAGACGTCTCTAGGTTTGGGAGACTAAGATGTGTCAAGCTCCACTGCCAGGCTCCGGTGCTGCTGTGCATGTAGGGGGGAGCAGCAAAGGGGAGTGGCAAAGGAGCAGCATAAGAGAACAAGGCATGCGGAGGAAGACCAGCAGGCAATAAACAGGGAAGACGAAAGGCGAGAGATGGAAGGCGAGAAATGGAAGAGATGAAACTAATGAGCATACCTCCTCTTGGTGGGCCGAACGAGGGCAGGGGTATCATCATAAAGACATTTTCGCCCTCCTGGCCTATCCCCACCGCCTTGAGAGAAAAGAGCTGTTTCTGGGGTAACACATACCTGAGATTAGGCATGAGCAGGGTACCATGCCTAAGACATACCTGCTCATGCCTACCGGAGATGACATGTACCTGAGATGACATGTACCTGAGATGACATGTACCTGAGATGACATGTACCTGAGATGACACGTCACTGGAATGATCAGCACCGGTCGTGCTACCGGGCGGCAGCGGCACGCGGCCGTAGCCCAGGGAGGGCCCGGGCAAGCCGAGCGTGGGCGTCGGCAGCATCACAAACGCCAAGCCCTCGCCGCCCAGCCTGGCAGCGTTGGGAGAGGAGATGCGGAAGGCGAAGGAGGTGGAGAAGGAGAAGGGGCGGCAGGGGGAGGCGGGCGTGGCGGGGGCGAGGAGGGCGAAGGGGGCGGGGTGCAGCGCGAGAGCAGCAGAGTTAAGGTCGGAGAGCGTGGTGAGGGCGAGGGAGGATGAATTGCGTCGAGCTGAGCCGGCTGTGAGGAGCGGATGGGCTCTGGAGAGCGGCCAGTGGGAGAAGCATTTGAGGGAGGACGGGTTGGCTGCAGCGGACAAGGATTGGGAGTTGAAGGGGATGGGGGGAGGTGAAGGTTGAAGAGGAGTGGGAGCGAAAGTGAAACGAGGGATCGATCGTGCACATGCGCGGGAGGTTAGGTCTTGGGTATGTGCAGCGCATGCTTTCTTCTGCTATACCTGTGATGTGAGTCGTCACACACCTGTGATGTGAATGGGTGGGAGTTGAGCATGAGTGCAGCGCGTGCTTTCAGCCAACTATACATGTGACACACCTGTGACCCTGGCAGCCATTGCTGTCTTTCTCACTCACTGCGAGTGGGCATGACAGACGCAAGGTCGATATCAGTGCTCCCCGCTCCTGCTCCTCCTCCCACTTCCGCCACCACACCCACTCGCTTTACCACTGCCGCCTTTACTCCCACTCCCGCACCTGCTGCTCCTCCCGTACTCGCTGCAACAGTGGCGCTGGTGGTGCCGATGCTACTGCTGTCACTGCTGCTGGCAGCTATGCTGCTAGTGGCGCTGGCAATACTGCTGGTGGTGGCAACGGTGGCAGTGCCGCTCGTGCTGTTACTGCTGCTGTTACTGTCTTGCACACCTCGAATCACCAAGTGCAGCGCCACTCCCCCTGGGGGCACTACCAGCGAGGAAGAGGAAGAGGCGGAGGAAGAAGAGGAGGAGGAATCCGGGGGGTCAGGGAGGGGGAAGAGGAGGGGTCCCACTTGGAACCAAGGCAAGGCGCTGGACAAACTCGCTCTGCTCCCCCCACACGGCACGCCCACCCGCCACTCCGCCCACACCTGCTCCCCTGCTCCTCCTTCCCCCCCTCCCCCAGTTGTTCCATCTCCCCCTGCTGTGGCGGGGCCGGAAGCATTCAGCGGAACTGCCAGCAGCAGCACCTTCAACAGCCGCTCCGCCTCCCCTTCCGCGCCCTCTTCCCCCTCCGCGCACAGGCTGGCGCGCGCAAAGAACGAGAGGGACAGCTGGCGCGGGGACTGCTGCTGCTGCTGCTGCTGCTGCTGCGCCTGCTGCGACACATTGATGGTCGGCGCCGCGGCGGGTTTGAGTTCGCACAGCGCTTGCGCCACGCCTGGGCCGCCAAACGCGCTACCACTACTACTAGAGTTGCTACCTTGCTACTTCCAGAAGCGTCGTCGTCACTAAGCGACGCGGAAATAGCGGACGTCAGCCGTAAGAAACGGGACCCGTCAGCTGCCAGTAGGGTGTCCGTGACTCCCGTGACCCCATTATTTATTGACACGTCAGCAGCCGACGCCGCCCCCGCGGCTGTCGCGATCGCTTCCGCCAGTGTCGCACCGGCTGACGTAAGCAATGGTCCGAGTTTTGCGCCGCCAGATGCGGCGGTGGCTAAGAACTCGTCGGTTGAAATTGTTTCTCCAGGTTCCAAGGCGCGCCACGGGAATAAGTACGGCCATGGATCGCAGGACGCGTTCAGCTTCTTGCGACGCCATCCAGTGTCGAGACAGCTTGTATCGAAGCTAGAGTTCGAGAGGAGGTTTGACGATTCACCTGTGAGGGCAAAGAAGGGGGTATAATGGAAGAGAATTGGGGATTAATAGGGTAATTGATCGGATCATGGCAACGAAACCTTATAAGATGCAGCTTCGCGAGTTTTTGAGACGTTGGCGGCAATAGGGAGGGCTTTGAACGAAAAAACGGGAGAAGCGAAATGCACGCCAACAAGTGACCGGAATGGGGAAGAAGGGGATAAAACCATCATAATGGCTGGAGGCAAAAGGAACGAGTAAAATACGGAAAGAGAGGGTGACGAAAAGAGATTGAGTAGAGACCCCTCATTACAAGTGTGCTTACGACCTGACTTCTTAGTATAGCGACGACACGGACAACGGCGACGAAACAGTCAGCGGCGACGAAACAGTCAGCGGCGACGAAACCGTCAGCGGCGACGAAACAGTCAACGGCGGTGATACCAGGAACGGGAAAAGCGGAGCCTCTTACTTGGATCGGTAAGGTTATGGCAGTCGACGAGACTCGAATGCCAAGTATATCGACGAAACAGTCAACGGCGGTAATGCCTGGGAACGAGGAAAAGCGGAGCCTCTTACTTGGATTGGTAAGATTATGGCAGTCAACGAGACCATCAGCGACACGAACAAAGGCTACGACATGGAGGAGAAACGTAACCCGACGGAAAATCGCGACATGGAGAAGACACGTGGCTCCTGGTTGAACCCGCAATCTGCGGCGAGAGACGCGGCAGGAATCCATCGGCTCCGACGAGTTTCTGAGGATGACTTTTCTAAACGGACTACTTTTTACGACCCGGGAAAGTATATTTCCGCCACGTAGACCGCTTATCGGAAAGGTTGCACTCTGAAAGAGGCTCGGACGTTCCGTCCCGGACTGACACTCGCCATTCTGAGTGGGCCTGTTCCGGCGAGCTACGCTATGGGTCCTAGTACTACAGGAAGCACAGCGACGGTAACGGCAGTCACGCACTGTTGACGAGAGCGCTACACTCATGCGGGCACAGCTGGAGCTTGTGCAGAGGGTGGAGGAGATGGGGAGTGTTTGTTAACCCATAGTTAGGGCGCGTGTGGTCTTACAAATTTGTGAAGTTTATGATTTTAGGTTAAATGTCGCATTGAACAAAACTCGACATTCTTTCCAGCGAAGTTCGAATCTTGGGTCTCCAACACAGACGAGTCACAATCACACACCCAAGGTCGAGCACAGAGATTCGACCTTTTAGGGATGGCGGCGAGCAGCTCGTAGGGGAGTAGGTTACCTGGAAAAGCGCGACACGTTAACTTTATGCGCAACGAAGCTCAGTGACATTCGCAAAGCGGTCGCAATTTCGTAAGTGCTGAAAACAACACACACTCGCCTCACGTGCACCTGCACGTTCACTCGTGTGATTCGAGTTGAGTTCACATTTGACATTCGAACTTATGTGCCCCAAAATTCTCATGTCTTCGCCAAAGCTTCCTGACGACATTAGCGACGCTGGTAACCGCTTGTAGTTCAACCTTTTTCCGAACATGAAAATAGATCACACGCGCCCTTATGTCACATCGAGAGTCCTTCGGTATCTTGGCCTCTGGTCACCTTAGGTCTATCTCGTCGTCTTGTACACATGTACTGTACTGCCCACGAAGTTCAGGACGCGGTTAGAGTGAAGAACTCGGAGGATCGTGAAATTCTCGAATCTCAAGATTGCTTTTGGGAATCGATCAGTGAAACAATCTGTTGTAACAATCGGAAGAATTCGGCCGCTATGTTCCATTCCCGGGGATCACTTTGGCGCGCAGATGTCACCCACTTTGGCGCTGTTCGATTGCACTGTAAATTTTTGTACAGCCACATCACATTGTGGCCGAGTCGCCCCTATGGTTTCCGAACCTAGGGTCACTTCACACCATATTCAACTTGCTGGCAACACAATCTTGCTTCACCGAAGACCTCAGCGGAATTGGGTCGACGGACCCGTTTTGCCAGTGTCGTCGAGGGAGGTCGTCGAAGCCCGGGCTGACGGGGCGGAGCACTGACGCGCGTGCGGGCCCGCCAGCCTGGCCCAGGGCTGGGCCGAGCGCACGACCGCCGCTCCGCAGCCCCGCCCCGAATGTGAACAGCGACCCACGTTACCGGGTGGGGGTCGGCGAACTGGCGACACCTCGCGAGTGGGAAAATTACCCTCGCGCGAAGGCAGCCCGCACGCGCCACCTGCCCGCGAGGTCCTAGTAACCCATCGCGGCCTGCCCGGACGGGCAGGCGAGGGCCGGGCGAAAATTCGCGGCCCCCTCGGGACGCTCGACAATTTCGCGACCCGTTGCGGCGACGCCACGTGTTCGCATCGGGCAACATGCAGAATTTTGATACATTGCGAATTGGGGAATTCGCGAATTCGACGTCGATCGCTTCGCGGCGCACGTTTTTCGCTTCGGGACATGACATCGACTTGCTGGCTCGGCGGCGAATGAGGACTTGTGCCACTTGTGCACGACCCCGCCAAACCCCGCTGAGGCAGGCACCACGAGGGCCGGGCGATGCCTCGACCGTTCCTGTGGGCCAACGACCCCCTTTTCTAGGTGGAAGGGGACGTCGCTCCTCATTTTCGGCATCTCGTTTCCCTTTCCACCTTTTCCCCAGCTCTGCGCCTTCTCCCACATTCACGTCCCTTAGCCTGTAGCCGCTTTCCCTTCCCCGCCATGTCGGCCGCCCAGAAAGTCGGCGAAGTGACGCCGACCTCGCAGGACTTCCCTCTGTATCTCAACCTGGGTAGTGGACTCACTGCCAAGCTCGACGAACACGACTATGCCGTCCTCGTAGACCATAGGCTAGAGTTCAACGCCCGTTGCTTGGGATTCGGCCTCAAGTGAATGTCCGTATTGTGATGTCGACGTCGACCGCTGGATACCTTGCAGGTTGACGTTGTTAGGGTTGTCCCACGTTTTGGTCGGGGCTACTAGTTTAGTGTGTAGATAACTTCTCGGTGACGCACAGCCGTAGGTCGGCACAGGACTCCGATCACTACAGTAGGTCGGTGCCCGCATCGGTAGGCGCCATAGATTACAACGTAGCGACGGTGGTGCACCGTTCTACTATCGACATCCCCGTCAGTTGTCGGTTCCAGAACCCACGTGTCCATCCGTCGTGCCGTGCACGTCCTCAAACACATCTACTACCCATGCATGCGTGCAGGTACGCATGGATTCGCGCGGCGCCGGCCAACATGCGATTGTGGTCGATAGGACTCGGCCGGCTTCGGGCGGCGATGGGAAAAGAAGACCACTCATGCTTTGCTACGGTGTTCGATGCCGACGTAGCTGTTATCCCTCTGCATTCGAGGTGAGCCTAAGTCATGATGGTGTGCCATGATGCCTATGTCGCTGCTCCGTTCTGATCGACGTCGTGGTGCCCACCCTGTGCAGCATCGCACCGCTTCCAGGGGCACATTGCAGCGTCGTGGTCATCCTGTACCCCGGCGACCTGTTGCGGGCCGGGGGGGAGACGATCAGGACCTCTGTCCGGCACTTCGACCCGCAAACCGTGAAGCAGTGGCACCGCGACGAGGCGATCCGCGTGCTGAAGTGAGCTCGATAGTGTAGTCGACGACGCATGCAATTTCGCCGCTGGGCGTTAAGCAAGTCTACTGACGATATGTGCCATGTTGCTTCAGGTTTTTTCGGGCGGCGGTGCTGGCCGAGCTCGGCCACGATGGCCGGCATTGGGAGTGGTCGAAGCCTTCTGTTGAAGAGGTGGCGGGCAGGCTCGCCGACTTCCATGAACCCGTTCGAGATGTGAGTACCGATCGTTTTACCGTCCTAGCGCGATGCCATCGCAGCCGTCGGTGCTCATCCTTGCTCTCTGCTCTGTTGTTTGCAGAAAATGCGCGACACCGTCCGGGACAGCGACGCAGGCTCTGGCCTCCTATCAATGAGCGCGCTGTAATGGGTGGTGAAGAGGATGGATCGCCTGACCGGCGACGACCGTCGCAGTGCGACCAGCATGGACAAGGTCCTCGTTTCGGGGTTGAAGGAGCTGCGGATTGGGATGATAACATACATCAAGGAACACGTCGCACGCAAACGGTCAGGCCATGTCGGAGTTGCTGCCGATGCCTGTGACGACGACGCCGCGGAGCCCCCTTCGGCATCCCAAGCAGTCGGTGTCGCCGACACCAGCGGAGAGGCCGGAGACGGCGTCGACAAGGCAGATGAGGAGGCAGAAAGGGCTGCGGCGAGGACCGCGGATCAGGAAGAGGAGGAGGAGGAGGAGGATGACAGCGACGATCAGGATGATAACGAGGAGGGTCGTGAGGAGCGTGAGCAGGGGCATGGGCAGGAGGAGGAGGAAGAGGAGGAGGAGGAGGAGGAGGATGAGGAGGAGGAGGAGGAGGAGGAGGAGGAGGAGGAGGAGGATAAGGAAGAGGAGGCTGAGGAGGAAGAGGAGGATGAGGAGGAGGAGGACAAGGAGGCGGCGACGGCGAAGGCCGTGGAGCAGGGTTCCGGGTCGGTGGAGCAGGTGGCGGAGGGGGAGAAGCTGCAAGAGGGGGAGGAGGAGGTAGAGTTCCCCTGGGTCGAATTTGAGATGGAGGATGTTGAGGGAGCGGCGGCGGTGGCCGTGGAGGGAGCGGCGGCGGCCGTGGAGGGAACGGGTGGGATGTCGGCGGATGTTGTGTACGTGCGAGGGGAGGGTGCCGATGTGGAGAATGTCGGCGTGGAGGAGGCGCACGTGGTCGGCAATGTGGTCGGCGACGCCGCGAAGGAGGAGGATAACGCCGCGGCCCCCACGCCGACGGGCGTGGAGACCACCACAGAGAACGCAGTGGTGGAACGCCGGGGTGGAGCGGTAGAGGCGGGCCGTCAACCGGGTTCCTCAGCAGCTGGTCGGCAGGCAACGCCGACCGACGTCGCGCAGCTGCGACAGGAGAACATGTGGCTGAGGGCTGAAAATGCTCGTCTCGAGACGGCGCTCGGAGTGGAGAGGGGTCGGGTGGACAGGTTCGCGATGGGGATTGGCCGCCTCGTGGACAAGCTCAGGTCGTTGGCCGACCAGGTCGCCGCCTCCGACCGCGACGCGGCGAGTCGGCTGATGGACGCGTCCTTGACCATGTAGACGACCGTCACCGAGCACATCACCGCCAACATGGGTGAAGCATGGGATGCGATGAAGTCGTACGCGGAGAGGGCGGAGTGCTGGTTGGACGATCTTGAGAATCCGGAGGGGTTTATGGCGGTGCAACGTGCGAACGCGGTCGTCGCCATGGCCAACCACGTGGACGAAGCGAGGGAGGGATTGGAGGAATACATTTCGAAGCACCTAGTCGCCGCGCAGACCAACATCGCCGCAGCGGTAACTCAACGCGTCGCCGTCCCGCCGCCCACGCCGCCCGCCCCACCGCCAGCCTTCCCGGACGAGCTCATGAAGTCTTTCAAGGCGGACGTGTTGAAGGCGGTGACTGAGGCCACCCAGCAGTCGTTTGTTGCGTCCGGGTTAAACCTCATGACCCAGGTGATCGGCCATCTGGCGCCTGGTCAGCATGGGTCGTCGCCGTCGGACAACGAGGCCGACAAGAAGGGTGCGAAAAGGGCGGGCGGCGGAGATGATGCTGGGAGCTCGAAGCGGAGCAAGGGAGCCGATGGGAGCCGCGGCGTCGGCCAGGTGGGTCCAGGCGGGGCGCGGAGCAAGGGAGCCGATGGGAGCGGAGGTACGAGCGTGGTGGACCAGCTCAAGAAGAACGGGGCCAAGGTGATAAGGACGCACAGCAAGGGCGATGGAATCAGGAGTGCGGAGGGGGGCCCTGCCGACCAGGTTGCCGCTCAAGAGGCTGGACCAACAGCCCCGCCATTGGTCGCCGAGAAGCCGGCCAGTCCAGCGACCGCACCAACGGCGATAGATGCCGGCGCCAAAACTGTCAAGGGACCGTCCGGCGGAGTGGCGGGGACCACGTCGATCCCCCGCAAACCCCCTGCGGCTAGCAGCGCGCCGGTCGCCCCGTCAGCCGCCAACAACGATGGGCCGTCCCCTGCGGCTACTCCAGCACCAGCAGGCACGTCTGCCGCGAAGGTTGACGCGGTTGATAACCGCGCTGGTCCGTCCGCCCCAAAGGCGAACGCGCTCAGGGAGATGCTCAGCCGCATGGAGACCCATCGACAGGACGTGCAGCAGCCTCCCGTGGTCGGTACCGCGCCTGCCACAAGCGCACGTCGCTCGGTCACTCCCCAGGTCGCCGCCACAACGTCCAGTGCCCCACCTACCGCGCCTATCATCGCCGCCCGTCCTCCTGTGGACCCAAAGTCCGCGTTGCTTCGCGCCCGGTTAGGCGCACGTAGTGCGGCAGCGCCAGCACGGGCTCAGCCGGTATCCAGCTCATGCGCGACGCCGACGTCGGTGACCGTAGCTGCACACACACTCGGTGCGGCTACTGTCGAGGCGGTGACGGAGAAGGGCGTGAGTGCAGCGCTAGCCACGGGCGGCAGATCAGTTGACCCTGCACAGGCGGCGAAGGACCACAAAGACGCCGATGTCGCTGCCATCCAGGAACTGTTGGAAGCGGTAAACCGCCCCAAGCGGCCCCCTGTGCTGGCCATCTTGGACTCGGCGAGTCCCACCGGTTCTACAGCGGAGCCAAAGACGACCACTGCTGCGGTCGGCACGGGAAAGTCGAAACGGAAGGGGACGGTCGACGCAGGGAAAGCGAGGCTGAGCTCGAAGAAGAAAACACGGGCGACGTCGGCGATGGTGAAGTCGGTGGAGAAAGGACAGGGGATGGCGACGGCGATGGTGGAGAAGGAGAAGAAGAAGGAGGAGAAGGAGAAGGAGAAGGAGGAGGAGGAGGAGGAGGAGGAGAAGGAGAAGGAGAAGGAGAAGGAGAAGGAGAAGGAGAAGGAGAAGGAGAAGGAGAAGAAGGAGAAGGAGAAGGAGAAGGAGACGGAGGAGGAGGAGAAGGAGAAGGTGGAGGAGGCGGAGGAGAAGAAGCTGGAGGAGGAGGAGGCGGCGACGGAGGAGGAGAAGGTGAAGGTGAAAGAACGGAAGGGTCATGGCATCCGCCACGACACGACGGGCGACAAGCAAGGGTGGGTGGGCGAGATCAAGGTGGTCGGGAACGAGAGCAGATACATCGGCAAGTCCCGCGACAAGATGGAGCTGGCGTACCTTCACTCCATTGTGTACCTCCTGTACGACGGTTTCGTCAGCAAGATCCTCATGGCCGAGCTCACCGGCCTGGAGGAAACAGTGATGAAGCAGTGGAGGGTGGTGTGGAAGGAAGTCCGGTTCTTGCCGACTGGGATGTGGACGGTGATCTGGGCACGGGGCGCGTTCCTCCCAAGGACACGGTAAGTCGGATAAACGTCGGCCAAGCTATGATGTCGACGTCGGCGTTCCTAACGGCCAGTTTCGTGTGATTGCGTGACAGGTTCGACGACATCCTCGGGAAGTATAGAGCGTACAAGACATCAGGCGATGCGCACCACGACGCGCTTTTGCCCGCGATCTGGTTCCCCGTCGATGCCGACGGGAAGTCGGATGCAATGATGTCGGCCATGCTTGATCGCGTGTCCTTGTGCGCGGCGTATGGGGAGGTCGCTGCATCCGCGGCGAGAATGGAGGGCGACACGGACCAGAAGACGGCGAAGGTCGCACAGGCGCTGCCGGCCTCAGCTTGCGCACTGTGGTGCTTAGTCGAGGGCGACGGCGCCCAGGTGGCTGATGCCGTCCGCGAAGGGAAGGCGGCGGCGATGTTGGTCGGCGCCAGCGAGGCTACCGCCGCCGAGTTCAAGAAGGTCATGTCGGCGGTGCTGGAGGCGGCGATCAGCAGGCAGCAACCCCTTGGGGAGGTTGCGCACAACGTCGCACCGGAGCTTGAGTCCACCGCTCTGGCCAGAGCCTATCCGGGGTTGGATGTTGAACCCGAGGCCAAACTGATCGCACGAGCGACAGTGGAAACCCTCGCGTTCTGGGGGATGTGCCCCGTGGATGGGCCGAAACTCAGGAAGATCAGCATCGCGGTGCCGCTGGATGCGCAGATGGAGTACGACATCGAGCACAGGGGGAGGAAGAGGCCGAGGGGCAAGCAGGGCAAGGACAGCTCGGGGAAGAAGGGGAAGGGCAGAGCGGGCAAGGACAGCACGGCGGCGTAGTCGGGAGGGAGGAGGGAGCGCAAGTAGGTCTTCTTGCCAGGATGGCCTGGTATGGGCGGCGTCGATTATGTAGTTTTCGTTGTGTTTTTTTTTTTCGATTGATTGTATGTTTTTTGTTGGGATTTCTTTTGTTGGCTGTAACTTTTTGGTAGTGCATGTTACTAGAACACTCCTCGGCAAGGTCGACCTGATCTCTACCATGTTACTCAAATGCGGGCCCGGTTCGATGAACCCCGTCGGCGTATAGCAACTCGGCGTCGTACGGTGTCGACATAGTGCGTCTGGCTGTAGGCATGTATATACTCGGCGATGACCCTCGTCGGCTAGGCCGAGATGGTCAATGGTCGGCGCTTTGGGGAATGTGCCGCGCCGCTCAGGTGGCCGAAATTCTAGGAGGTCGGCATCGATGTGCCGTTTAACGCGCATATCGAGCGGGCATGGACAGCACGCATGCGTGGTCGGCGCGCGGAGGGAGCGCTAGGTGGTATGATTGCTCGGTTATAGCGTGATCGGCGCCGTTTGCGCCGTTTGAATGCAGTCAGCGATGTCGACATGAATAAGGCACAATGAATTGCACACACATGGTGGCGACTATGTCGGAGTGTAGGGTATATCTGGTTCGGATGTATGTGTTGGATCATGTATGGTCGTGTTGCATCAAAATCAACAAGTACAATGGGAACACTACGGTTTGCTAAATTAGGGCATCATAAACCTACGCTAACACATATACACCGAGGATCTTCATGCCGACTTCTTGCGCTTTGACGGAGGACGCGGCGCATGTGCGGTCTGCTTGGCCAAGTCGGCCACGGTCTTCGGCATCTGCTCCTCCTAGGTGTCTGGAAACAGGCGGTCGACCCACGTCGTCGGCTTCAGCTCCAGCGCCACCAGCGCACAGGCGAGGCGTAGCTTCGAGACCACCTTGGGGCCAAGCCCCTTGACGCCCATGCCAGGCTCCTTGGACATCGTCGGTGCCGTCTCCGGGTTGAGCACCGTGAGGGCATCGCAGAAGGTCCCAATGCCCGGTGCCGCGATCGTGTTCAGTGCATCGACCACGGCTTCGGTGTCGGCATCGCCGTCGCTCGCGCGTAGCTGGCGCACCGCATCCATGGCCTTCAGCATGCGGCGCACCCTCATGTTGAGTGCACCCTGGGTCGCGCCTTTGAGGAGGGTGTGGCGGTCGATGAACCCCGGCTCGGCGACCCTGTCGCAAAGACGACGGGTGTCATTGGCGGTGGCGGAGTTCCAGAGGCGCCAAGCGTCCCGCACGGTCTTTGAATCCCGCCACGGTTGCACCACGTTAAGCTCGTAACTGGCCTCCTCTGCCGTCTGGGGGGGTGGCGGGGGTTTCCCATCATCTCTCTTGGCTCCGGTCCCCGTGTTGGCCGAATCCGCGGAGCCACCCTCGCCCGGAGTTTGATCGGTCGCCGACGGCGGCGCCGCCGGCATCCTCCGGGCTTCTGACACACGGAGTGCCTCGGTGAGTCGAGCAAGCTCGGCGGTGAGCGACGCGATGGTCTCGTTTTGCTTCTCGATCGTCTCCTGATAGCCTAGCTTCTCGAGCGCCGAGCGCTCGACCTCCTTCTTCAGCGCCTCCTTGAGGGACATGTTGTGATACTGGGTGTCCATGCGCACGGATATTTCCTGCAATGTTGAGTGTGCGGAAAGGCGACAAGAGGTTAGAATTCATCGGCTAAAATTCAACGACGCCGACATGGTCGGCGACTCACCTCCGGTTGTATCTGAGTTGGGTCCCGGCGCTTTTTGATCGTATCGGTGTCGACCGACTCGACCCTTTTCGCCCAGTGCTGGAAGAGGGCAATCCTGCAGAGCTTGGAACCTTGGACGTACGGGTGCCACGGTGTGCGGACGAGCTTCACCGCGAGGTCCTCGGCGACGATTCGTTGGAACATCACGAGGGTGCGCAAGAAGTGCACTGCGGCTGCATTGGCGTCGCTCTCGTTGACGGCACGCGTCTCCGCCTGCAAGTCGGAAAATGGCGTGGGTTAGTAGGGAGTTGGGCAGCCAACTAGGCCACTACGACTGAAAATCATTGTCGGCGTCGCGTGACATACATCGCGCAGAATAGCATCCACGCCGGGGAAGATGTGCTTGGCGAGCAGGTCCAGGAGTTGGTCGCAGGGCTCGACCCTGCTGCGCCCCAAGAAGTAGTCTTGCTTGAGTCCCGAGTAGCCGGCCTTCTGCATCACCACCCCAACGGGAATGGCCGTGATGTACGCACGCGTCATCTTGTCGAGAGCCCAGTGTCCCAGCTCGGCGATCTGGGCGCGCGGCGTCCCTCCGATGGCTAGCTCCTGCGCACCACCGGCGCGGGCGGCGTGCACGTTCCTTTTGCAGAACACCTTGTTGGTCCTCCACATCTGCCGAGTCTAACGTTGGTGGGTGGCGGAGGAGAGCTCCTCCTGCTCCTTATCGTTTCTGGCGAAGAAGAGATGCTTCTTGTACCAGCGTTCGCGTTCTGTGGTGTCAAGCGGCGAAAGGAAGTCGGTGCCGGAGAACTGACCGATCTGGTCGAGGATGAAGTGCAGCCACAGGCCGGTCTCGCCGACGGCGCACAGCTCCGCTTCCAGGTGTCGCGCAGCGTAGCTCTGCTGAAGACGGGCATCCTTGGAAGTCTTCGAGTTACGCGCGGCGATCACCATGACGACCGGCTGGCTATCCGGGTTCACCTCCGAGGTGCTCGCCAGGTGGTACAAGAAGACGTCGGGGAGCGTGATCTCGCGGATGCTGGCGCCGCGCAGGAGAGTGTGGTGGGAGAGTAGCGTGAGCACCTTGATGAGCAGGAATCGCCACAGCGTCTGCGACGGAGTGGTAGCCCGCGGGTTCCACGCCGCCGCCGCCCATGCCGGCAGCACCCTCATCATGATCTGGCGGAACTGCTCGGCGGTGTAGGTATCGCCGATGGTGCCGCGTCGACGGTCGGCGCAGTTCCTGAACGCAAATTGGCGGGGAAATTTTGTTAGACGGCGTCGACTTCACAGTGCACAGTGATATATAATAAGGTTGTCGACCAACTTACTTGATGTCCCTCTCGTTCTTGTGGCGGACGTTGAACCGCACCTCCGATCTCACCACCGAGATCTCCATCATGATGCCCAGCTCCTTCTCTCGGTACAGCGTCGCCTCCACCCTCGCCGCCATCTGGCATGCCTTTATGCGGCCGAGGATCGTGTGCACAGTTGTCGACCTCACAGGCCCCGTTCGCGTGGCATTGTTCTCCTCCCCGGGCTGGTCAGCAATGAGGTTACACTCACGGCTCATTTGCTTCACGTAGGCGCGCAGCCGGGCTTCGGTGACCTTAGGGCCGTGCAGCCAGATGTACTGTCGGGGGACCACTTTCTCGTTGCACCAATCCTTTTTCTTGTTGTCGCGGATGTAGTGGCCGATCTCGTCGACGTGCCGAAGTTGTTGCTCAAGGGGGAGCTTGTCGCGTATCTGCTTCAGCATCTTCGCCGCCCACTTGTTGTAGTGGTAGATGAACGCGGTGTATAGCCTGAGCGTGCTATTCTTCTCCAAGCATTGTAGGTGTCGTAGGGCGTCCATTATGAGCACGTCAATGCTGGAGTACACCATGTCGTCCACTACAAAGTCCGTCGCCTTCCACCCTTCGCGCGGCACCGCCATGTGCTGATTGTCCTCCTTCTTGTCCTCTTCGAGCATGTCACGTATGTATTCAAATTCCCGCCTAAGGCGTTCTTCCAAGGTGCACAGATTGGTGCTACGCGGAGGACGGTCGTCGACCTCGTCGTCGCTCTCTTCCTCGTCCTCGTCGTCGTCATCATCTTGGTTTTCCTAGCCAGCCGGCACCGACGAAGGTCCAGGCTGCCCATCTGCCGTCGGTGTCGACTTCTTCGTAAACTCCCCAATTGGCGGATTCGGTATGTCCTTGGTGTACACCCCTTCGGGAATCTGAGTAAGCTTGTCAAGATCGTAGAGCAACTTCAGGGTCTCTACGGGGGCAGAGGACGGACTGTGGTCGGTTGGGGTACCAACGTCGGGCATGTCGACGTCGTCCATGATCGCTCGTATGCTCTACCGCCGGCCGTGGAAGAGGGAAAGATTGGTAAACTAGAGACGGAAGTGATTCACGTCGACGCCTTAGTGCCGACCTAAGTCTATTCCAGGTCGACGCCTGAGTGCCGCCGCTGGGTCGACTCGGCCGTCGAGTAACCTAGACCCGCAGAGACAGCGAGGGTCCTGTGAAGAAAGCGAAGTGCCAGATGGCGCACAGGAGCATGAGAGGAACACGAAGCTGAACAGGCAGAATGAGAGCGTTGTGCGTGGTCAAAGAGGGGTATGGATGCGGGCCACTGCGCTCCTGCCGCGCTCCACGCAGACCTCTTTGCACGCGCAGCAGTGCACGTGTATGACGTGTCACGATCGATGCATGTTTAGTGTCACGCCGCTTTGCGCCCAACGGCACTCCCGCCGGTGCCTTGCCACGGTGGAATTCACGTGCGCCACTTGCAATAGACGCAATAGGCCAATCACCTAGTTCCACTCTCCCGAAATGCCGTAGCGTCCTGCTCTCCCGCGCAAACCTCATCGACCTGCGAGTAGGCGCGTGGCCGGAGGCTTGGTCGACGCCGACATTGCCTGAGTCCGGCGCTCTCTTGGCCGACGCCGACATTACCACGCTTTCTCTGGCTATCTAGATGGTGGACACATGTACATGCCTTAGCCAGTCGACTTTCGCCGCGTGGACGATGGTGACATTTTTCGTCGCGGGCCAAGTTTCGCGCGCAGCGAAAGATACCAGTGCTGCGAAGCGGGGCCACGTCGGCGTCGACGTGGCACCTCCCGATTGTCAGGCTCGATCTCGGCCGTCCTTACTAGGCCACGTGGCCGTAATCGCGGCTCGGCGCACGACGTGTCGAGCTGTGGTTCAGGGTCCGCTGAGGTTTCCTTCTCAGGTTTCTCTCAGCGAATATCGAGGTCGTCAGTTTGTCGACAATCCCGAGGGGTTCAGGGCCCCGGAGGACTGCCAGGTCGCCCCAGTTTGCCACTCGCATGTCGTCACGAGGTCGACAATCCCGAGGGGGTTCGTTGTCCTATCGCAACCGCGAAATTGGGCGGCCGTTTTCGTCGGCTGAGGTATATCATCCCATTGTTCAGATTTGACAGCTGTGGAAACAAACAAATCCCACACAGTCAAAACCGCGTTCACCACAAGTAAAACAACGAGCTACAAAATTGTGCATTAAATGCACTACATGACAACAGAGGCACTAGTACCGGCTGCAATCTCTTCCCCAAGACTCCTGGAGGCCACAGCTGCTAACCCCTCCGTCCAACTCCGAGCTGTGAGAGATAGAAAAAAAAACCAAAGGGGTTGAATCGGAAACTCCCCGTCATCCTCCTGCACCAAGCATATCCGGGATGTGAAGATTGCAAATACTCTAAACCCTAATCTGCAATCCATAGGCCTTATGGATCCACCTCGTCATGGTGCATTTGATCCGCTGCGCCTCAACACAGCAGAGGGTGGGGAAAACGCTCGTAACGTGATAGTGTTCGCGGCCCGCTTTGTCTCGGCGCAGATCATAGTGGGGACAATTGCGGCAATGATAAGACAACTCATCTCGCTTCGTGCACTGTTGCTCCGTCCGCGGTTCCCTAAGCACACGTCAGCTCTACGAGGACAAATGTATGTACACGAATTGTTGACCGGTCATCCGTTGAGAATGCGCGAGAGCCTACGTATGGAGCCGCGAGTGTTCACTAGACTCTTAGAGTTGCTATGTGCACGTGGCCGCCTCCGAGACGGTCGGAACGTGACCATGACAGAGCAGCTTATGATTTTTTTGAACATGATCGGTCACACAACCACCAACCGCGTCCTTCAAGAGAGGTGGCAGCGGAGTGGCTCTACAATTTCCATTTGTGTGCACAACATCGTAGGAGCGATTTGTGAGTTGCAAGATGAGTTCATACAGATGCCCCAGCAAAGCCCTCCTGAGATATTTGACGAGCGTCCAGAGTTCACCCACTTTAGGGACGCGCTAGGGGCTGTAGATGGAACCCTAATTCCAGCCCAGATGTTACGCGCTCGGCAGGGTCCCTTCTTTGATCGGCATGGGAGGGTTTCTCAGAATGTGCTAGCTATTGTTGATTTTGAAGACCGCTTCATCTACTGTCTGGTGGGTTGGGAGGGGAGCTGCCACGATTCAACACTGTGGGCTGACGCCCGGGGTCGGGGGCTGGTTTTACCGCATGGGAGGTATTTGTTAGCCGATTCGGGGTTTCGCAACGATGCGGAATGCTTGACTCCATTTAGAACGCAGCTTTACCATCTCCAGGAGTTCCGGGATGCAGGATTCTTGCCAAGGAATAGTCATGAGCTTTTTAATAGAGTTCACTCTTCCTTGCGCTCACATGTGGAGCGCGCATTCGGGCAGCTCAAGGCCAGGTTTCCAGTTCTGAAATTCATGCGGCCCGTCAAATTCGCCACCCAATGTAACCTTGTGATTTGTTGCATGATCATTCACAACTTCGTGAAGCGCCTTGGAGGCGAAGACTGGGGTACTGGCATGGTAGAAGGCAACGCTGAGCAGCCACGACGTTTCAGGGGACGCATCAGGGAAGCCCGGAGGCCTCTATCCATGTCAGCCTCTGCCCAAGAGGGGCGCAGGAGAAGGGATGCTATAGCAGCAGCACTATGGGCTAATAGACGAATCGGGGTGACCACAAGGGTCTAGGATGAGGATACTCAATTGTGTTTAGACTCAATAAATATCCATCACAACAATGTTGCTGGACATGGTAGTATTGTTGGCGATGTTGTGATTCATACCGAATATGCTAGGGGGACAACAACACATTTAGTTGGGTGCTGGTGCGGCCAATCCAGGAGCATGGGCATTGATGAACAAGTGCCTGAGCTCGTTGTTCATTCGCTCAAACGCTACGGCATCTCGAGGGCTGCGAATGAACAGTTGTATTATGCGCAGCTTGTCCATCCCGGAAACACCCTCCATGTGGGTGACTATGGAGGTCACCCGCCCAAGAGTGTCTTCCGATGCGTCTGTGAGCATGGTAAGAAGATGAGTATACATCCGAGTGCACATGAAGGGTAAGAGAGGAGCAGTGGGGTGGGAGTAGGGAACAGGGTGAAAGGGCATAGGTTATAGTAGATGGGGGTCGTGATGAGGGAGAAGGGTTGGGGACAGAGGATAAGCTAATATCCCAACTGTGAAGAACATTATGAACGGGGGAATGAGATAAACACACATGAGTGAGAGAGCGAGATAGAAACGAGTTACCTTGCATGGTGAATTTGAGTCCTTGCTGTAGAGTGGACGCAATCGACGCCATGTTTTCGTCGTGCTGTGGACTGTTGCTGCGTCCACCTCTTTGAGGTTGCTGGTTGGGCGGGGACATCGAAAGCCTACGCCGCGCGCCATCTGCCGTACCACATGATCGGCGTGGTGAAGACGGATTGGCTGCCTGGTTGGGAGTTGGGGATGCTGCGGGGGGGGGATTGGAGCCAGCTGCTGCCGCGGCTGGCATGGAGGTTGCAGGTGCGGAAGTGGTGCCTGTCGTACGGCCCAAGGGGGGGGATGACGTGGGTGCAGAAATGGGGCTCCCTCCAGCCGCGGAAATAGGGCTCCCTCCAGCCGGGGAAATAGGGCTCCCTCCAGCTGGGGAAATAGGGCTCCCTCCAGCTGCGGGGGCAGGATTAGGGCTGGCCACAGGAGCGGTGGATGGAGGCGGGGTCTGGGCCGTATTGGGGCTTGGTGCATGCGTGGGGGATGTGGCATGTTGGTGTGGGCTGCTGTGGTGAGGGCCCAATCGGCGATGCTGCCGAGCCCTATTATCCCCTACGTCGCTCCTCTCGTCCGCACTTGAGATGTCGAAACCTCCAGGGTCGTCGGAGTAAACCCTGTCGCCATCCCCATGCGTAACTGCATAGCCTCCACGGTCCCCTGATCCGGATACAACCTGCTCACCTAGGCTGAGCCAAGGGGCGATGTGGGTGACCCACCGTTTCCAATCATCCCAGTCAGGATGAGCCCTGATATCGGTGTCGAGCACCTGTCCGGGAATGTGAGTGGGGGCAGAGGAATTATTTTGAAGGGATCAATGTCAACACAAGGAGAATGGCTCATCCTAGGTGGCTTACCATGGTGTGGGGGTCGAAGAAGTCACGCTGGGGGTCCCAGTTCACACCCGTGCACACCCATTTCTTGAGTTGCTTGATGTCTCTCACCCACTCCTTCACAAGCACGAGTCGGTTTTTCAGCTGATCCTGTGTGAATCCAAGGATGCCGTGATCCTCAAGCCATCGTGCGTACACATCATCCCAGCAGGTCACTTTGGCACAGGGATTCCTTCCAGCACTTCGCATTGCCGCAATGACACAAGTCAGTAGGTCGGCCGTGAGGTCATCGTTCCACCTCGGGTGAGGCCTTGTGCTGTTGCTGGTGGTTCGAGATGGACCTCTACTTGCAGTTGAGCGCTCACCAGCCCCTGAGCTGTTACGTGGGAGTGGAGGGCGTGCACGGACGGCTACGGATCCCACAGGGGTCCTAGGGGTTGATGACGGCAACTGACTGTCTAGGGGGGTATGAAAGCCAGCTGAATTGCCTGGCACGTAGCTGTATTCGAATTGTGTGTTCTCCTCC